GGATATGAGTGTGGAGGATCCAGTGTCACACTGAGTGGCAGCCCATTAGCAGTGGGATAGGAGTGTGAACGATCCAGTGTGACACTGAGTGGCAGCGGGGTGACAAGTTCATTCGACGAATTTGGGGCTCTCCACACAGCCCTTTCGAAACGAGGCATTTTCCAAAATTTGTCAGACGGAATCCGAAAGGAGTACTTTTCGAAAGAACCCCCCCCTTCCTTCAGGACATCGTTAAAATTGGAAAGATACAGAGAAGATTAGCATGGCCCCTGCACAAGGATGACACACATTAAAAAAAAAAAAAAAAAAAAAAAAAAAAGGAAAGATAACCCCCCTTCGCCACACCGACTTCTGAAACATACAGGGCTTTCTATATGCACATTAGGGCCTTGCTTGACTACTCTGGCCATGTGCAAAAGGATGGTGTGAATCTTCCCCTTGAACATGCAAGGATACACCACCATGATATTTGTCTCTTGTGCATGTGGAGTGTAGTTGAGCCAGGCCCTGGTAATAGCGCCCTTCGTTTTTTTAGGCCCTTTCCAAAAGACCACTCACCGTTTTTTGAAGAAACACTCGTGAAAAAAGGAAAAAGGAAAAAGAAAAAGAAACACTAGTGACCTGTGGGAGCCTCATGTTGCCCTTAGGAAACTACTTTCGATGCCTGCAGCTCTGACACCTTTCGAAAGTTTTTTGAAAGGACTTGTTTCGAAAGCCTGTGGGCCTCGCCACACCAATGTCGAAACTGGAGTTTTCCACATTTTTTCTTCGCCACACAGAGACTGCCGAAGAAAAAATGTCGAAAACACTTCCACATTTGTCAGAGAAGCGGTTTCGACATGCGTGTGGAACGGCCCGCCTGCAGTGTGTCGAGTTTCAACATTGCCGAAGGGAGGGAGGTTGTGAAGGATGTGTGGATTTTGACACCTGCCATGGCCGGAGTTTCAACGAAACCTTTCTTATCGTGGGTCTTCGACATACGGTGTGGCGAAGGTGGAACGTCGAAAATGGTGTGGCCTTTGTGTCGGAACCGGGAATGTCAAAAATGGTCTGACAGTTCACGAATATTTCACAGTTTATACACTGGTTTCTACACTGGTGTGCGGAGGCCCTGTGGGTCCATTTTGCATGTTTTGAAAGGTTGTGTGGAGAGCCCTTTTCTGGGCTGAGAAAACAGGAAGGCAAAGAAACAAAAAAAAGATACAGAGGCCTCCCACTGGAAATCAAAGTGCGTCCCAGCAATCAGATCACAAATGATCTGATGGTGGTGGATGCAACAACAGTGAACAAAGTAACTGCCACATTTTTTTTGGAAATAAACTCGACTTCTGTCAGCAGGGATCATGACTCTCTCCCTCCATACACCAGGTGATTAAAGGGGGCCTCCACCCACTGAGATAACTGCACAGCAGCAAACAAAAAACTGAAAATCTTCTATCCAGTGGGCGTAAGGCCTATCCCACCCTCGTTTGGGGTTGGCCATACCCCCCTTTGCACGGGCATGCCCAGTCTTAAACCACCAGTACCTCGCCCAGCTATTAAAAAAAGTCGCAGCCGTTAATGCGCGGCCACTTTCAATCAAAGGTCGGTAGCTCCAACGCCCGGTCGGTGCAGTTTTGCAGCCCCCCAAAAAAAATCGAAAAAAATGGAAAAAAAACCTAGGCTGTTTTTCTGGGCGCCCCGCCACCCAACTTATGCCCGGGTACACACCCGGGTGCCCGGCCGGGCATGAACCCCGGGCAGGGTTCCGGGCAGCACCAACGCCAAAAAAAAAAAAATAAAAAAAATAAAATCTGAAAAAAAAAAATGTTGTGTAGAATTGCAATACAAACGACTTTTGGCTGAGGGTCACATTAAAATTCTTCACAGAAAAATCGGAGATAACAAAGAAAATAACAGAATCACACTAAGGAGATCTCATGCCCAGTGTAGAGGAGGAGGGGAACAAAATACTGACCGTGGGATCACGAGTACGGCACGGCAGGATTTGGGTCACTCAACTGCCACACAAACTCTTTTCTATCCTATCCCCTTGCTAGTGGGACCATGCCCCTGCTGGGTGACTCCACGGCCCACATTTTCGCATGCGGATGGGAGGTCGAGGCAGTGTCCTTTGTCCTTTCTTTTTGTGTGCAACAAACGGGTGAGCTGTGTGACACGGAGGGCCGAAGGTGCCTCACACTCTTTCTTCTTACCCCCTTTTTATTTCCACTTCTCCCTTTGTGTTTCACCCCCCCTTTTATTTATAGAAATACGCCTGCACACTGTCAAAAATAGAGAGCCCTCTCCATCCCTCGCGATTTTCGAGATTGGGGCACGAGTTCTGCAGGAGGTGGCAGTGCTGTTCTCTGTCTCTTTTTTGTTTCCCCCTGTCATTTTGTGTTTCTGAGAAAGGAGGGGGGGGGCAATAAAAAAGAAGAACCGAACTTATTTCGAGAGCGTTAGTAATTGACAGAGTAATTGAGAGTAATTGAGATCGATTTCAACTGAAAAAGAGCGAGTATGACAACCCTCTATTCGCTCTCAATCTTAAAGATGAATAGAGAGTAGCGGCGGTGAGGCCCGTAGTTGGGGGGGGGGGGGGGGGGGAGAGAAAAAAGAAAGAAGAAAACAGCAATATTCGAGCTGCACAGAATGTTAATTATTTTTTTTACGAAATCCTCTGCGGCGCAGAATTTATTCACTACGATGCAACCGAAAATAACATAGACATTACAAAAAAATCAAAATTATTAGCATAACACGCTGCCCAAGAGTGGAAGAAAAGAGCAGATATGAATGCAACATACATACTCTAAGTGCAAGCACTTTGCAGCGCGAAAAATAGAGATCCACACACACACACACACACACACACACACACACACACACACACAGAGAGAGAGAGAGAGAGAGAGAGAGAGAGAGAGAGAGAGAGAGAGAG